TGTATCTAATTCCATGTTTAAATCTCGATTATCAATTTTTAATGTCGGCATCCGTTTAGACGCAGTATCACTGTTAATTTCACTGAGTTTTTCCAGACGTTGCATAATGTCGACCCGCGACGCCGATTGAGTGTCAGTTGCAACCTGATCCGTTGTTTCCGCAAAGACTAGAATTTACTTCGTTGACCTACAAATTTTGGCAATGTGCCCTTTTTTATTGTTATGATACACAGCATCACAAAACTTACACTTGTCACGAGCGTGTGATCCACCGCAGCTTGCGCAGTACGTTCCTTTTTCTCGGAATTCCGTTTGTCACCTTGTCGCTGAAAACGCGGATTTCTTTGCTCGTTACGCTCGTGTGATTGTGGTTTTTGATGTGTGCCCTTCTTTTGTCGCTTGAATTGTGAGGGTGCGTATCCCAGTTTATGCACGGCTTCGGATGTGGTCCCTGCTCCGGCAAATTTAACCTCATTGCTGACGTTGCGCGTGACTTCAAGTGTGTGCGCAATTTCGTATGTTTCTGTGAAAATAGATGGCTTTTATGCAACGATCTTGTCACATATTTCACGTATTAAGAGCCCATGGAGAAATTGTTCAATCAACCTAGCGAGGAACTCGTCGTATTTGCAATGTGCGGAGCCTTGTCTGAAACGCATTGCAAAAGCGTCAATAGCTTCTCTCTCTCTTTTGTTGTACAATAAGCCGGAACTTAATACTCTTGTTCTACGTCAAAACAGTCTTACATCCCAGAAATGTGGGGAACATTGATTTTATATTGAATTTTCTTGTAAAAACCAAATATTCGGATACCACGCTAATTACGAAAAATATTACTTCAGCCAGGGTTCAAACCTGGAACCTCCCTCATTCCGTGTAGGACGTCGAACCTATTTGTCCACTGAGACATATGGTAATATTTTTTGCAATAACATATATTAAGTTGACTAAATAATACTAACAATAAGATGGAAATACTTTTTTTTAGGTCAACGGTCAATTGACAATTAATCCGACCAAAACCAATGGTCGAATTGTCACGACAATGATAGTCAATTGTAGTCGATTATAAAATAAAGTCTTTCTCGTTAATCAATTATTGGCGGAAGAAAAATACACTTTTCTGTAAAAAAAAAAATATATTTCTTCTACTCTGATGTCTTTAAAATGTCATATCTATAAGTATAATCGCTCATTCCAAATCTATGTCTAATAAAAATTTCAAAATTTACAACAAGTGATTCAATATGGCGGCTGAAAGTCTGTACAATTTTTGTTCTATATATATATAATATTATACTATACTATGGTAAAAATTTCGGTAATTATGCATATTAATACCCCATCTGCCAATGACCTTGACCTTGACATATGTTGTCAAGGTCATCCTCCTGAGTGATTTTCAGAAGTTTTTAGCCGGCGGTCGTTATTCGTTAAAAAGTTATTAACAAAAAAAGTTTGGAAAATATAGCAGCTACTTTGAGTATTAGAAGACATAAACGACTAATATTATGTTTTTTGTTAAAGCAGAGAATACTTTATTTCGCGAGAAAGTCACTGCTTTACCAAAACACAACATTTAAAGCAGTAAATTGTTGATAAATTGAAGTCTTTTTGTTAAAACAGAGAATATTTTATTTCGCGAAAAAGTCGCTGCTTTACCAAAACAACATTAAAGTAGTAAATTGTTGATAAATTGAAGTCTTTTTGTTAAAGCAGAGAATACTTTATTTCCGAGAAAGTCGCTGCTTTACCAAAACACAACATTTAAAGCAGTAAATTGTTGATAAATTGTATATTGAATATATGTGAGTATTGGAAGGCATAAATGACTAATATATGTGTCGAAATAGTTCACGCATATACTTTCCACGCGAGACGAGTTGTCACATGGGTTCGTGGCGCGCTTTACAAGCTTGTTTATATATATACATAATGAATTAGACAGTGCTCGTAATTAATTAGTGTTTATTATGTGTATTAATTTTACAGCAGATACATTCTACTCATAATACGAAAAAAAGCATCAATTCTTTCGTTAAAAGTGTTTTTTTTTTTTTTTACAAATCCGCCAAGTAGTGAATATAATGTGTTTCCACAATGCCAAATCGAGGTATTGCTCCTCGCATCGACTACGTCGATTTCGCCCAAATTCTTACGAATTTATGAAAAATATTTAATAAATATACATATTTAATATAGTGATCAAAATCAAAGTATTACCTCGTGATTTAAATAACGAAACCTATCTTTGACTTAAGGATGTATTGCACCTATTTTCAAAGCGCTACCAAGTGGATAAAAATTTGTGAGAATGTTCTTTTAGTCTTCCTGATGTGCTACAAAAAAAATAGAAACGAATCCACTAAACGGTTGCTGAGATATAACGATTTTAATTTTCACTGATTTTACACGTATTTTTATGGGAAGAGACGATTCTGACAGATAAAACAGCTAAAAAAATGTTGAAGGAGCGCTACCAATATTTTGAATTTTTTTGTACATCTAGCATACGAATAGATGAAACTATCTGTCAAGTTTCAATTGTCTTCACTACACCGTTTTAAAGAAATAAATTAATAATTAATGATAATTAATTATTAATTAATAATTAATTATTAATTATTAATTTGATTAATAATTTGACGTTATAAAGTTGAAATCAGGGCATTTTTACTGCCAAAAGTTTAGGCTCATAAATTACAAAAATCGCAAATAATACTGGAAAAAACATTTGTAAAGTAAAAAATACCTTTGTAAGGAGTAGTAAAAATAAGACTCCTACTATCATTTGAGTATCTTCCATCTAGATTTACTATGCGTTAGGCGTAGATATTCAAGTATTTCAAATTTCATGCACTTTTGTCTAAGATTGTACCAGTGATACATCCTTAAAAGTATTCTCTGTTTTAACAAAAAGATTTCAATTTATCAACAATTTACTGCTTTAAATGTTGGGTTTTGGTAATAAAGCAGCGACTTTCTTGCGAAATAAAGTATTCTCTGCTTAAAAAAAAGACTTTAATTTATCAACAATTTACTGCTTTAAATGTTGTGTTTTGGTAAAGCAGCGACTTTCTCGCGAAATGAAGTATTCTCTGCATGCTTTAAAAAAAAAACGTAATATTAGTCGTTTATGCCATCCAATACTCAAAATAACTGCTATATTTTTCAAACTTTTTTTGTTAATAACTTTTTAACGAATAACGACCGCCGACTAAAAACTTCTGAAGGTCACTCAGGAGGGTGACCTTGACAACATATGTCAAGGTCAAGGTCATTGGCAGGTGGGGTATTAATATGCATAATTACCAAAATTTCATCTATACTTGATATATTAAAACTATAGAGCGGTTTTTGGGATCACTGATTTCGAATTCAAAGTCAAAATTTACAAATTTTTAAAATACAAGATAATGAAAACCAAAATCGCAAAAAGTTGTTAGATTTACATTAAATTTGATATTCAAGGTTTTATTGACTGCATTCGAGAACTACGTTCTTAGCTCTCTAAGCGTACTCTGTCCTTGTTCAACTTTCTGTAAGTAATAAAGATAGAAGTAATAAAGATAGAACGACGTTCTTGCACTAAGAGCGTGGTTTTCGAACGCAGTCATTGAGTCGCTGATTTTGAATATAAAATAAAAATACAAAAAATCGCTGATTCAATATGGCAGATCAAAATTCCCAAAAAATAAATTTAATTTAATTTTGAAAAATTGCAAAATAATTGCAAATTAATGCAAAATACTTACTCTTACGAACCTCCCCTCAATGACCTTTTCCTTCACATATATTATAGGAGTCACCCTTCTGAATCTTCGGAAGGTTTTAGCCGTCGCTCGTTCTTTATTCAAAATTTAATTATTAACAAAAGAAGTTTCAAAAATATAGTAATTATTTTGAATATTGAAAGGCATAAACGACTAATATTATGTGGAAATAATATATGTATGAACGAAGGAAAGTCGCAGAGAATAGTTGGCATAGAAAAGAGTAAAAATGAAGATAAGAGGGGGCACCTCCAATAATATTGACCTTGACATATGTTGTCAAAAGCATGACTCTATAAGTAACTTTTCCTTATAACTTAATCGTCGGTCATTGCTTATTTAAAAGTTATGAACAAAAAAAGTTTGATAAATATACAAGTTTGTGTCAATGCTAAAGGAAGTAATTTGCTGATATAATATAGTACACATACGGTAGCCCCTCCCTCACAGGCAGGGGTGGGTGGGGGTGGCGTTGGTTTGCGTGAAAAGTTGAAAACCTCAACTGTACAATGATAGACCTCGTTTCGCCTTATAAGCAGGGGTGGGGTGCATAGGGTGGGATGAATCTCGCTTTTCATGGAAAATACCAAAATACAAAATGCTGTCCAGAGAACCATCCACGCAAAGCGAGGTCCACTCCACCCCTGCTTACAGGATAAAACAAGGTCTATGGTCATCGTATGATTCGAGTTTTTCAACTTTCCACGCGAACCGAGGTCCATATATCTCCATCCACCCCCGCCTTCATGTGTACTATCTGTACACACATATTAGCAAATTACTTCCTCTATAGTACTGATACAAACTGTTATATTTCTCAGTTATATTTGTTCATAACTTTTTAATAAACAACGAGCGACGGCTAAAACCTTCTGAAGGACAGAGAGTTAAAACATCTCAAATGTCATCAAGTTCTTTCGTTATTTTTTCAACATGTTTAATTTTAAAAATGATTAAAAATCGTGAAAATTTTTTTTCTAACAATAAGTCACAAAATGGTGATAGCAAGATAATGTTAATGGAACAAAAAATCTATCGACCCGGGTATTCTAATTTTTTTTAAATTAATTTTCTTGCAAAATTAGTATTTTATTTTAAATGTATCAATTTTACTTTATGATTATTTAGCTCTCCACAATTTTAATATATTATACAAATAAATATATACATAGGTATAGTTACATATTTTTATTTTGCATGTTTTGTAACAATGAAATAATTTTTTAGCAGATATGAGGCCGAATCTAATGAATATTTGCTCAGAATGAATGCAGTTGCGCCACACGAATCTCGAGGATCTTTAAATTCGGAATGCGAGCCATCGGTAAAAGAGGAAAGCACAAAACGTTACGTTTATACCGGTCCACCTGCGATCAGTCTGGGCAGTTGGTCGGAAAGACCCAGTGTCAACGTCCAAATCAAAACGGACACTGATTACACGTTGGGAAGAAGCAATACGACTAATGACAGTAAAACCATTGTTAATATTAATAGCATAAAAAATGAAAAAGATATTACGAACTATACCTATAGCAGCACTGGTAAGAATAACGTCACTAAGCACAAATTCAACATTGATTCTTTGACAAATGAAAATCCCGATGAATTAATCGCAAAAAAATTAATGGCACATATGACAGCGTCGAATTTCAAATTATCAAATCGAGTTAACACGGCATCCAATTTGACGAAAAACAAAGATAGACCCGTCGTGATGGGGGTCGAGCTGAAGAAAACTTCTGTTAAAACGAAAGAAATACTAAAAAGCGAAGATGAGAACGAAGTCGACACTACATCGATGAATTTCAAAGAATTAACAAAGACATTCGGCCAGTATGGAAATTTTAAGCAGAAACCTAAACGCTCAAATATTAATAAATCTTCAGAGGATTATCGCAATGTGCAGCAGAGCGAGATAGATAGAATCACAAACTCGAACGTTAAAGAAAACGGTTATGCCTGGTTTACAAAGGTAACCAACCAAAACAACTTCTCATTTAAAAATCAGCCCGAGACGCAAGGCATACAACCAAACCCACGGCTAAAAAAATTCACATCCGTCATAGGCGTAAATGAGACGAGCCAGAATCTTGGATTACAAAGTGAAATGTCCCTCAGGTGTAACATCAACAATGCTATAAAGATTAATCCACCGATGCCGGTTGTAAAAGGATTCAAGATACACACTACTGCTGATTCTAAGATAAATAATAATCAAATGAGTCACAACGGACTATCGATGGTTGATAGCTTTAACAAGAATGTACAGTTTTCTAAACCTCAAACAATGCCGGTGATAACAGGGGTGATGCTGAAGAACGCCAACGTGGGACCCAAAACAATATCGGTCCAATTAGATCCTAGGGATATGCTATTGGAGTCTATTCGGAACTTCGGCGGACATAAAAAATTAAAAAATGTAAGTATATTAGGATGAGATGTAAAGCACTCATTGGAAGTTGTTCTTTGGAATATACAGTTGTCCCAAAATTCGCAGATACGGAGTGCAGAACGTGATTGTCTGTGCCAAAAGAAATAACTTTTTCCTCTGGCAAAATTGCGTCTAAACACTACTTTTTAAATAAGATCAATTTGAAGCTAACGAATGAGCGTTCTAAATTACACAGATTCAGGGATGGCACGCGCACGGCGTGCGTGGCGCGTGAGCACTCATATAATATAAGAACATTTTCTAATTGATATCACTAAAACAACAACTGAAAGTAAAATAAGTAGATTAGATAATACATGAATAATTTTGATCCAATCATTATACCGAAAATGGTACCAATGTACTTAATAAAATCTTATCCGCAGAGCAAATATGTGCAAATGGAAGGTCTGAATTTTGATCAAATGCTTTAAAATATTTAATCGGCCCTTTTTAGGCCGATCGGAAGCCGTGTATCAATGTTACAGCAGTGTACATGGCTTCTGATAAGTTGAAAATTTATTGCCTGTGTTATTCCCTGTTCCTGTTGCCTGTACCTTTCTATTGTAGATCCAGCTTTAGATATCGTGCATAGTTCTGATTAAATCTTTAGCGAAATAGTAAAGAACAGCGTATACGCTCACGCGCCATGCACGCCGTGCGCGTGCCGCTCCTGAGTCATGCGTAACTTAGAGCGCGCTCATTCGTTAGCTTCAAATTGCTCTTATTTAAAAAATTGTTTCTTTGGCACAGACAATCACTCCGTATCCCCGAATTCTGGGCACCCTGTATACAGGATATCCTATTTTAATTGCTCCAGGCAAACATTTCGAAAACTGTGAAAATTAACGGAAATAGAAAAAAGTTTCCCAGCAAATATACAGAATATAACTGCTGAGTAATATAAGAGTAACACGTAATATAACAAATATTATACATTTTTAAGGGAATCCTATAGCGAAGGCCGAACTTCCTCTCGATGTCGATAATGTCAACATTTTTAATCCTGTTTTCTCTATATCTGTCCTTGTATAACTATAGTAATCTGTCCTTGTTCGATCGCTGCACCATCTCTCGCTACACGCAATACTGCTTACACTATCAACCTGCATGTGCTTTTGCACGTATAAAAATTAAAAGCATGACACTTTTTTTCTAGACTTCTATCGTAGTTGTAATTGAACGATATTTTGTTCTTCAATGTTTTCCCTAGAGGCTAGTATTTCATTTTGTATATATGAACTGCAGTATTTTTGTATAAGCAAATATTGTCGTCAGTGACAGCTCTATGTGCCCAAATTTTTAATTTTTTTTTTTTTGTTCTTGATGTAAAACCGACACTAGCCTCCTACATTTTTGTGCGTACTTTAATTCTGAACAAACATTTTGCAATTCCGTAAAGCCAATTAAAAGTGGTTTGCTTTTAACTAAATGTCGGTAATTACTGCCACTATATAGGATCCCCTTGACGTTGAGGTTGTTTATATTTTTTTATAACTGCAATATAATTCTGTTTTAAAATTGTTATATTGTTTTATTGTTTACCGTGATTATAACAGTATAACAGCAACACAACTTAAATATATCATGTTATATAGCAACTGTATTTTATGTATTATGTCTAGGTTATGTACAATTTGTTACATGCAAATATCGGATTATCACCGTTATATGGTATCTTTTTTTCTACATAAAATATGGCGAACGGTGGTATAAGCACGGTGTATAAATTACAGTACGGCACAACGTGTATCGGTTGTATCGTGAAGTCTACTCTTGTAATAAAGTGTCACACTTTTGAATTGATAGTATAATTACTGTCATTATAATAACAATTCTTTCCACTAAAATATTATTACCACGAAACATCATAGGGGAATAAATTAAAATATACACGTTATATTATACTGTAATAGGAGATACAGATAGGCCAATTAATATACAGGATGTAACAGTAGATAGCCCGTATCAAGCGTTTTTTTTTTTAATGCGCACTTTCTTGGAAAATGTTCCATACAAAAGTTACGAGATATTTTATATTTTATGTCCAAATGTAATGTCAGAATAAAGTATAAAATATCTCGTAAACTATTAATTTTTTGGTAACTCTACCTTAATACTTTTATACGTAGAATAATTAGAAGAATCATATTATGTAAAAAAATCATACAATTCCATTTAAAAAAGTGGCGATGACCTTTATGTGACCTTAAAAAATTGATTTTTTCGAAAATTGATTTTACCATTATTTGTCTCCCTTAAAACAACTTTTGTATAGAACATTTTCCAAGAAAAAGCGCATTTTTTAAAAAATGCCTGATACGGACGGTTTGTTACATTCTGTATATTTATATGTACGTATATAGACATCAAAATTTATTTCTTTTGATAGTTATGGTTTCGCAACAATGCAATCATATAAACATTCAGGTTGCTTCGCGATTATAATTGAAATATAAAATAGAAAATAAACTAAAATAATAATAAGGCTAAAGATGTTAAGATAGAAACAATTTAAAAAATATTCAGTAAACTTTTAAGATTATTAAGCAGTTAAAATTATTTCTTGCAATTGAGCAAAAATCAATTATTTCATCCCCAATTTCGTCTAATAGGAAGTCACATATAAAAAACTTTTATTATTCGGAGGAATCTATGAAGATCCCAAAAATATAGTACACCGATTGTAATCGCGTACACCAGATTTGAATGCTTGAAGAATTATGCAACAGACTATACCGTGATGTATTGTGTTGAGTTCAATTCGACATAAGAATTACAGAAGATAAATACACTCGAGACTTTTAAAATATGTTTTTTTTTTTTAATTTGTTTGTTTTAAAATTCCACATTTTTATCATTTTTATGTAGTTATATTGCATGTACAACTTAAATTTATCACCTACATTACTTTGGTTTTATTATTTATAAAACTATAAAACTATAGCGTTCTAGTTTCAGTCTCATTAATTATAACTTTGAGATTATATAATATTGTAATAAAAATAATTTTATCGTGTTTAATATAAAACGCTATATAGTTAAGATCACACAATATTATATTTTTACTAATTGAGTAATTAATATTAATATTATAATTAAAATTTTAATTTTTAACGTTGATATACATTTTTTACAAATAAATATTTTTTATATAAATTATTTATTTGCGTCATTTCTATTTATTGTAATAAAATTTAGTAGAAATTCTAACATATATCATGTTTATAAACTTCTTTTAAGAATAAAATATGATTATTATGGAATTAATTAAATTAGAAAAATAATTTTTTTTTGTTGCAGACTACAGAGAGATACTAATTGCGTGTAGCCACTCATAGAGCAATCTGAGCTAAAATTTTTTGCAGCGATGCTTCAAGATTGACAAGTTTTTTTCTATTTCTTCCGTCATATTTAGTTCTATATCATTTGTTTTTGTTTTTATATTATTAAAAATATAAGAATTATATTTCAAAAATCTTTTTGTTTAAAAAAATCTAATGCAAATAGGTTTGAGAAAAAATTTGTTTAACCTTAGAATATTAAAAGACTTTTTGGGATATGTGTTAAGAAATTCGGTTCGTACACGGAAAAATGATATGGTTTGCCATAGCTAAATAAATAATAACATTTGGCGCAGCCATATCTGATGGTTGTCACACCCAAATTGATGTGATGTCTTTACTATATTATAATTGCCGCACCACCGCGCCATGCGCCAGCGCTGGTATCAATTCTCTATGGTTGTCCCAATCATATATAGGTGTATAGTGATCCATCAATGTGGGTGTGACAACCGCAGATATGACTGCGCCAAATGTTTCTATTTTCTGGCTGTGGCAACCATATCGTTTTTTCCGTGTACTATTTTTTATTACTATACATTTGCTTTATATTTTATATATATACAAACATTACTAATGTTTAACATTAGAATTTAACTGATCAGACCTTCAAAGCTGACAAGAGTGAAAATCTTGTGTTATCGCAGTATTTTTATCTAAAAAATGGAAATTTTATGTCTAAATAGTGAAAACATAAGTCATGTAAAATAGTATATTGTACAACTAGTGGGAAAAGTGGTCGATTCTAAATGAGTGTGAAGTTGGTCGCACTCATTTGGGCTCGACCACTCTTCTTTCCACGAGTTGTTCATACTATTTTTCCTAACGCAAGCGTAAAATGGGTCGCTTTTCGCGCTCGCTTCGCTCGTGCGACCAACTTCACACTCATTCAGAATCGACCACTTTTCCCACTAGTTGTACAATATACTATTTGTAATGTAAACAATATTATATAGTGCAATTCAACTTAGAAAGGAGAGAAAATATCCACATGTCACACATTTGCAATGCTAATGTTAATATAATTATTAACTTATCTTTGCTTTGTAATAGTATTCTAGGGTTAATACAAAAGTATTCAACAATTACTTCAAGTACTTATTTATTCGCTGATTTATGCCGCTAATAAGTTACATAAGAAGATTAAATATTCCTAATTTATATATTCTTACATATAATTACTAAGATACCAAAAGAAAAGTATTTGTTATTTTTTTGCTTTCAGTATTTAATGTGACAAAAGCAAGAAATTTATTTTCGCGATATTAATCATTGAGATTGCAATGATTCGTTATATCTTATATATTTTTGGTTGGGATATGTATTCTCGATAATATTAACTAGACCGATTAAAATCCGATAATAGCGTCACGTTGATTGCGTGTAAATATGATGTACAAAAGATAACCGCTGCGATAACCAAAACTCGCTACAGAACAGAAGATGTACATACTATTTAAGATATGTTCGACATTTGCTTAATTGTAGAAGATGTGTAACTTTTATTTTATTTACTTGAATAGTCATCAACTTGATGTTGCTCATTCATTAATGCAGGAAGAAAAAAGAGGGAGACAAAATTAGATTGTTTCTTCTCAGTTCGGTAGAACCGTTCGATTCTAGCTTTGGTACAATGTATACTAAAATAAATTTTATAAAGATAGAAAATATTAAACACCAAAGTTAATTGTTGGATGGCTCGATATCGGTACTATTATAATGGAGGTTTGATATTGACTACTAATAAGTCCTAATTTTCGCAATTAACTGTAAGTTTCTATCAACGGGACCAAAGGTGACATCTTATTTTTACGTATTGTAGAATGAATTTAGAGTCGTAGAACATTACTGCGCTAAATACGAGGTAGGTTTTTAATCGTTAAATCTGGTCAATTGAGTTATTATGTATCGAAACAATTGATAATAATAAATATAGATTTATTTACAACGTTATCTATAAAACGTTGAATGATCTATTTTCCTCCGTAAACATCGTATTAATATAATAGATAATTATATTACGGCTAAGATGTGAACGGACCCACACAGCACACTTTACCTAATAGCGTTTTTCATTGGTAGAAATGGTGCGCACTCAGTGCACATTAAAGCCGTTGTACATTGATTTAATCTCTAATATTTAAAGTAAAATGCAAATATTTTGACTGATAAAATTCCTAATACATATATTTTACCAATTATAGTATAATAAAGAATAGTGAGGATTTCGTGACTTAACCCATTTATATCAAGAGACACGGTAGTGTCCCGTGCCAAGTACACGCGGAGCGAGACCGACCGTGACTCTTTTACGCGACGCGACGGGTTGCGAGTACCCGAGATGTTGAGATCTCGATCGATAGCTTGCGGTCCAATTAGGGGGGGGTTTCTCTTATAATATTCCGCTACGTGCCCTACGAGCGGAGATATTGCGACGCAAAGTCCAAATGTGAAAACTTATTTTTAAGATACTTCCTCTTAACGCCGACGTCTCAATATTATTATGATTATTAGAGAAATGTCACTTTCATTTTTTCGACGCTGGCGGCGCAGGTATCGCCAGTTTCGATATCGCGCGCGTATTTCGAAATAGGTCGATAGACTTATCGGTCAGGAGGAAGATTTCTATTTAGGTAAATTAGGTATATACAGGGTGATTCTGAACAACCCCGCGTCCTTGTAAAGACGTATTCTTGAAATAATTCTGAGACGATTTTTTCTCTACGAAAATTTTGTCCGAAGCTTACTTTTTAAATTATTGCAGAAAATATTTAGCCAATAACGGAGCGCGTATACAGAATACGTCTTTACAAGACCTCTATGAAGTTGGCCGGACAACTTCAACGTATCGAACTTTCATTAATTGGAATCGATTGGTGGTCGTTTGGTGGTCTTTGGTAGTCTAGTCCGATCGTTTGGTGGTTAGTCGTTTTCCTGTAAAATAAAAATGAAATTTCCGGTGTGAAGTTAGCCGGACAATTTTTATTTTTCAACCAATTTAACTTTTTTATAGCTCATTCGACGCGGAATCGTTTGGTGGTCACGAATATCACCGGTAAAACGTTTGGTGGTCAACCGCTTTTCCAGAAAATAGAAAAAACCGTATGCGCATAATGCCGTAGTCGGAACAATTGTATTTATCACCAAAATTGACTTTGATAGGGCTCAATCGACGCGGAATCGTTTGGTGGTCACGAATAT